CCCCCCCCTCTTGCTCTCTGGAAGTTAGCGGGTCACCCGCTCTCGCAGCAAGTGCGGCAAGTCAGCAGGCGCCCCGCAGCTTGTGCGTAGCGTGCCGGAGGTAGGCATAGCAGTGCCTCGCTGGGGACCGACTGGGCTGGGGTTGTTAAGTCCCGTGGGGTGAGCGCATTCAGCACGGCCGACACTGGACGGAGGCGCGGAGCAGCGAGTTTGGTCCACGGTCAGCTCCTGCACTTGTGCCGCCGTGGCCAGGTCGTCAATGAACAATGGCGCCTTTGGTCTGGAACCTCGGCTGGACCACCAGACCACGCTCACTATAGCCAACTTTAAGCCTCGAGAGCGGTGTGACAACTGACGTTATGTACGTTAGAGATGTGGCCTGGCCGGAGTTGACTCCCCGCACATGCCACGCTGTTGGACTGCGCTGACCGATAAAGACCCGCTACCGGCTGGAGGCCCACGGATGAAACAATGCCAAATAAAATCACAGCGACAAAACAAAGGGAGCATAGGGGCCTTGTCGAGGTAACTCGTTAGAGAAGAAGAAGGAAAAATGTTTGGAAAGCGATACGCGAAAAGAAGACACGTCCCGGCGAGGTTCTGTGTGTGTGTGATTGTGTTTCCAATGGAATTATTGCTGCGTCCTGCGGCGGCCGGCCTCCAGCAACTTGGGCCAGATTAGTCAACTTGGCTAACTTGTGTTCTTCCGTAGTTTGGCCATTGATCAGGGGCGGCTCCCTCGGCCAGTTGCTGCCCTCCCCCTGCCGGGCCAGGCCTAACCTTCACGAGTTGTGTCATCAGGTAAAGGTGCTTTATGAGATTACTTCCAGCGAGTGATTCTCCCATCTATCGGAAAATGTTTTGAGGGGGATAAACGAAGTAGTTTTTTTTAAGACAACCTTTACTTAGGAAGCATGCGTTTCCAACAAATCGCGAGAGCTCGGCGCCTGCGATACTCAGCGTAGGCCAACCCGCAGTACACGCATGTCAGGGCAAGAGAGGTGTTGCCTACCATCTAGGCGCTATCTGATCTTGCATTCGCCGGACTTGGCAGTTTTGTAACGGAAGTGGCGGACGCATTTTCTGAATAAGCCCATTACAATAAGGGCAATACCTTAAATCATAAATATATACAACTGCTACCTAAAAGTTGGCGCCAAGACTTGTTTTACTTCTTCCAATTACAAGTCGCACATGGCCGGAGGTTTCGTAGGTGTAAGGGAAAGCGCGTACGGAAGAACGCGCTTGAGGCAGAGGCAAGGCAGAGGGAGTGGTACTGATTACAAGTAATTCGTCCAAAAGAAAAGGACCGCTTTATCTTGAACTACTGGTCGGACCCAAACAAACAGGAGCAAATGGGACTCCTGGGCAACTTTCACCCCCGCTTCGTCCTCGTCCTCCTGGGTCTAACAAAGATTCGACGCAATGAACTAGTTCATTTGAGAAAGCAGAAAAATGTGGACTTTGAGGCTTGCCCCACTAATGTCGTAGTTACTTAAATCTCACCTTAACAGGGTGAGATTGTTCTGACCTCACGCAGGTACTGTGATGAACCACACACCTCCAAAGGGCTGGCCGGCACCTATTGTTAGTTTTTTTAGACATGTTAGAGCTCTCTAACGGCCTGGAGCAAAGATGGTTCAGAGCGTCAGCGGAACTTCCGCGGGATTTCAAACGTCCAGGGAATATGAAATCCCTAAAACCTTTTTTGGTCCCTTTAGGAACTTCCGAGGAACTTCGAAAAGGGACATCTGAGGTATTTCAAAAAAGGGACTTCAGAGGGTGGTCGTTTTCTGTTAGGGTTATGGGTTCCTGGTAGCCTTGCAGATAGCTACACTTTTGTGCGCAACAGAGTTGAGGCACCAAGCCCGCAGGCCAGTGGTGGCGTGGCAGGGAGGAGCTTGCAGATGGTTTTAAGGGGTCTGCTGCCTCACGCTGCTAACTAGCCCCCTGCCGTTGACAGACGCCTGACTGGTAAAATCAGGAATCAAGAAATACGAAAAGAAACAGGAGGACGACAGCAATAGCACTGCCGCCTGATGGGGTCGATCGGAGCGTTAACGAAGCTTCGGACAGCATGGTTAATTTATTGAGGCCCTCGCTTCGGAATGCAAACAAGTCGTGTGCAAACCCAAGTTTTGGAATTATGAAGAGGCTATAAGAATGAGGCTTGGGGTACGAGCGCCGGCATGATGCCTAAGCAAAATTCAAATCCGAGAAGTAAAAGGCTGAAAAGGATGAGAAGTGCCAGAGAAAAAGTGGATAGGAAAGGGGAGTGGCGGGAGGGAAAAGCCGGGCAAAGTAGGTCAGGTCACTGGTGGGGGCCGGCGAAGTTTCACTTGAGGTAGGGACAATCGCTTCTAGGATTAACCGGCCGGCACGAATTCTGATGAGGAAGCTCTTTGGTCGTCGTGGCGCCGTGGCCTGGAGTGGCCTGGCGCGGCCTAACGTAGCTCCGCGGCGCGGCTCTCCACCCAGACGTAATGAAAGGGTAAGTAGAATGCAAATGGGGTTGATAGAAAGTGACGTCCCGCGCCTGTGTCGGCGGAAAGTAATTGTGCTCAGACGAAAAGATGTCATAACGAATTGATCGAGAAGGGGGGATGAAGAAGGGGGGGGGGGGGTGCAGCACTCACCTGCGCCTGTGTTGAGATTGCCATGGCAGCCCAGGAGCAGCAGGAGTGGCAGCACCAGCAGCAGGAGCGACAGTCTCATTTTTACTTTCCCAGCATCCTGGCAACAAAAAAAATTAAATATGATGAGATGCGGAATTATTTTTCATGCACGCCGCGTACCTGCCGACTTAACAACGTGGTGGAATGCCGACCATTACCAGTTGAGTATTGCCAATAATTGACAGTTTTTTTCTAATTTTAAAGAAAAGTGAATAGCTAATGTGGTCGCCAGCGGACTCACCCGAGACAACGTGCGACTCTGGGGATTGGAGTAGACTAGAGTTCTCGGTGGCTCATGATGTTAAGCGGCTCGTGTCGGCATTATAATGTGGTTTCGAGTGGTTTTCTTCAAAGACGACATGCCAAAGTAGGAAGAACTAAAGGCCCAACTTTTACAGGCGAAAGCGAAGAGAGTAGACGACCGAGACCAATGCGCACTGTTCCCGCGCGCTGCGTCCCGTGAAACTTGGGAGATAAACAGACATCTCTTTCAATGCGAACTTCAAACCAACCCCTTTTGCGTCTGCTCGTCTCCCCTCCTTCGCATCTCTCACTCATGAACACTTAGGATGCTTTTAGCTACCGCTCTGTAGCAATTCGGGGATACGGGCAAGCGGCAGCAGGGCGAGGGCTGCGGGCCAGCAAAGAAAGGGAAAAGGGGGGGCGGGGTCTGCTACTGGTTCGGCAGGTGGCGCGCGAGGTCCGTACATATTTAATCTCGACAGCCGCCCCCAAACACTCTCCCCGTTACAGAGATGACGGTTGTTTCGGCTAAGCTCCCCTTCTCTCAATGACTGCTGCGAGCCCAGCCGGAGGAACTGCGGGCCCAGATGCAAGAGCACAAAAAGTCGGTGTACCTTCACCGGCTTCACACTGTAAGTATCTTACAGAACAACTCTTTGTAGCGTACAAATTATCTGGCACCTTTGTAATACAAATAAAGCCTTCATAATACAAACAGCACTAATTTGTAATAAACAAAGCACGTGTTTTTCAGTAAACCGTTGAGCCATGTGAAGAACATCTGTCTGAAATATGCGAAGAAGTAGAAGTAGTAGAAATATCACGTTTACCAGTACGTGACAAGGACACATGGCCATCCGCAAACCCAGTTGCCAGCTACAAATCGTGACGCTGGCAAATTCGCCATACCAGACGCCGCGAGCAGATCAAAAAGACCAAGGACAGTTGCTGCCAGAGCGAAGTGAAGCTCGCAACTCCATTTCCACGCATCCGTGCAACAATATCCTATCTGTTTCGCTACCCCAAAAGACTACTCTATCTGCTATTTCGACGCTCTCTGCAGCTCTTTCTTCTTTTCATTGTGAGTTCACCAATTTTAACACTAGAAAAATCATGACGGTAAGGAATAGAAGTTGGTGAAGGTCTTCGTAATAAGCAAAACAATTGGAACGAGTTAGTGTGTCTAGCGGGGCAAACTTTAAAGAGCTACCAAGCACCATAAAGACGTAGCTGAGCTTAAAATTCCCGAGTAAAGTTGATGCGTTTATCCCTAAAAGTTACGTATTCTGGGAGGCGCCTGAAGGGGGCAGCCGCACTGCGCTCTGGCATAGATGGCCTAACCTGCGCGGTTATCACGTCAAGACCTCTGACATTTTCTGGAAACTTCCCTGCTTCTTTCCCAGCTCGACCGCCGAGTGACACTTTTATACTTCATTTCAATTGTGATCTCGCCAGGTCCACCCCGACTGGCGTGGGGAGGCGAACGGCGAGCGAGTTGTGTGGAGCCGCGGGCGATAACCCTGGCAAACTCTCGTGGTCCAACTTTCCGTAGCTTGTCTGGTGAATTTAACCAACTACACTGTTGTCGAAAAACAACTGCACCCTCGACTCGACGACGACTGGCTTGTCTGGGCGCTTTGGCCGTGCAAGTGAATTCGGGGCAAAAACATTCCCAAGATCTCCATACCAGATTAGTTCCGATCAGTTTGCGCGCCGAGCTCCGAGACGAGTAGCGCTCGTCCGCCAAGCGAGAGATCGGCTGCGATGGCGCTCGACACGGATGGAGGAGGAGAAGTGTACTCTCTCTCTCTCTCTCTCTCTCTC